TGTGTGTGTGCTTTACTTTACTTTATCAAAAGCAAGGAAGACAACGTCTGCACTAAACGCTTATGGTATTAAGATGATTGGGGGAGAGGGGGAGGGGGGATGGGGGTTGGGGGGGGGGGGGGGGGTTAGACAAATTATTTGACATCAACATAGCTAAAACTAAAAATAATAGTAAGTCAGCAATAAGGAATTTCCAGTAGATTTTCATGATGTTTAAACAGTGTAATAATGAACGCATTGCGTTTTAGTGTCTGACAAAAATGTGTTTGTTGTTTGAAAGCCCCACCCTGACTGGTGTCGGGGTCCCTAGTAATGTCCAGTTTCGTCCTTTTTAGGACGACATTTTTCCAGGGGCCGCAATATAGGCAGGCCATAAATATGGCCAATTGTCTGAACGCGGTTTCTGGGACCTCTCCACGGCGATCCCACACCACATGGTGGCACTTTTTGTCATCGGGTGTTATCACTTGTGTGATGTCCTAGTGGGGTAGAAAGTCAGTCAGTCAGTCGGGGTCCCTAATGTAACCCAGCTTATTTATGGAACAAGGTTTCTGGGTCCTGTCTCCAGGTGATCCTCATCCGAATGGTAGCACTTTGTGTCACCTGGTGTTTATCGCTCGGTGTGATGTCCTGGCGCGGTTGAAAGTCAATCAAAATCACGCTCCCGCTCTTCTCGTGATTTTGCCTACTCCAATGTAAAGTTTTTTGTGTCACCCCTACCTCTTCCCTCAAGGACAGTGATCTATTTCTGACATATTTATCGAACGGCTGACGACTGTGCCCACTGCACAAGCGACCAAGCTGCTCTTCAAAATATTGATCTTCATTAAGTTCACCTACTCAGTTTGTGAACTGTCACAAAATTTCACAAGGATAAGTCTCTTTATGTGGTCGATGGTAAAAATATCTTATTTATGTGACCTTGATTTCATCAGTAGTGTTTACTTCCGTCGCAGTTTTTGTAAACTTCTTTGTTTCTTTCTTTTGCCGCACTGCTTATTATTTATACTTGACTCAAGTTGAAAATCTACCTCACGAAACACAAGATATTCTCATGGTGGTGGTGGTTGTGGGGGAGGGCAGAGAGAGAGAGAGAGAGAGAAAGAGAGAGAGAGAGAGAGAGAGAGAGAGAGAGACAGACAGAGAGACAGAGACAGAGAGACAGAGACAGAGAGACAGAGACAGAGAGACAGAGACAGACATACAGAGAGAGAGAGAGAGAGAGAGAGAGAGAGAGAGAGAGAGAGAGAGAGAGAGAGAGAGAGAGAGAAAGAGAGGTTTCAGTCAAATAAGAGGCGAAGAGAAGACGGTGACATTGGATAGGGCACAGTATGAGAAAAACTCATGATTATGTACCTCAGCGTTTCCCACATTTTCGATCCACTGCTTTCTTTTCAGTAAAACAGTCTTTCTTTCTTTCTCTTTGTCTCTACTGCCGTCTTAGTTTCGTTCACTGTTTTCTAGCTGCACATGAGGAATGCTACGGCTCCCTGAAGCATCGCAGAACCGCCTCCCAATTCGACCGAGGACCGCCCCAAAGCCCGTCCCAGCGCTTTTTGTGAGTGGTAGCGCCAAGTTTGGGAAACACTGGTGTAGCTGGAGGGTACTTACACTGAAACTCGCATGGTCAAAAAAACAAACAAACAAGCTGACTACAATAAAAAAAATAAATTAAAAACTTTATATAGAATTATGAAACAAAATAGTGCTGACATCGGGTAACCTGCATGCGATAGCAAATGACACAACACTGGTGAGAGCTGGGTGAGGACTGTGAAAGATCAGAAGAAGTTACAGTTCAGGTTTGAGATTTGTTGTTACTTAGTCCGCTTCTACACGCAGTAAGAACCACTGTTGTCTGATATATTCAGATATCACATGACATTGTCACGTGATATAACCCACATGATATAAACTGGGAGAATTTGTACTGTTGATAAATGTTATATTTACAAATATAACGACAATGCCAGGGTTAAGATTGTACACCTTGCTCATTCTTGGGCTGTTGATTCAGCAAACTATATGTTATGAACCGACCTGGGACTCTCTGGACTCCAGGCCACTTCCCAGCTGGTACGACGAGGCCAAGCTAGGAATCTTCATCCACTGGGGCGTGTTCTCTGTGCCAAGTTTTAATTCAGAATGGTTCTGGTGGAGATGGCAGGGACAGGAAACAAACGACACTGTAGACTTCATGAAGACAAATTACAAGCCTGGTTTTACTTACGCCGACTTTGCCGAAGACTTCACTGCTGAATTTTTCGATCCGTTGGAATGGGTAAAACTGTTCCAAAGTTCTGGGGCAAAGTATGACGTTTATTGCATTTATGTGTTTATTTATTTGTATTTATGTGTTAAACTATGAATAACCCCTTTAAATAAACTAGAAATAAAATAAAATAACTGAAACAAGGGATTTGTAAAATGTATTTGTAATCGGTAGGTAGCATATACTGTACATACAGTATGATGTTAAATCTGTGTTTACTCTTTAACGTCCCTCTAGAACTATTTAATAGTGAAAACTAAACAGAGCTGTATGGTTCACGGGGAGATATGGACTTCACGATCGTATTTATAAAGACACTACCAGCCTCCTGAGTTATGGACTTCACGATCATATTCATAAAGACACTAGTGGCCTCCTGATATACGTTTTTTGACAGAAGGATAGAAGAAGAAGAAGAAGTAGAGGAAGACGAAGAAGACAAAGTAGAGGAAGAAGAAGAAAAGTAAAAAGAAAAAAAAAGCATTAGAATGAATGACCATGGGCTGAAGCTGTGAGTTTATGGATGCTAAAGATTGCACACACAAGTTTAGGTCATGACTTTGTGGTGATATGATTATTTCACTGCAGTACTACTTTTTCCTACTCCAGTCAGTATATGATGTGGTGTTTATTTACAGCTGAGCTCTGAAACAGCTGCTAGCAGATGACAGGTGCCCTATGTATTATTTTTAAACTGTGGGGTAAAATGTTTTAACTTGTGACAAAGTTTAAATAAGTATAGGTGAAGGACTATTTTTACACCGTTAATGCTCCATGAGATGTGGTTTTACAGAAGAATTCTTAGAATGAATTGAACAGCTAAGAAGAGCAACCCAGATGTTTTGAAAGAGTCAAGTGCTGGAAGACAACTTATCACAAACATCAGAAAGAAACAGTCATTATTTTTTGGGGTCATGTTATGAAAAAAAAGCAAAAATGGAATATGTTGTGACCACTGGAAAGATCTGTGGAAAGAGAGACAGAGGAAGACAGCGTGAGAATATTCTTGACAGTCTTTCGTCATGGCACAGAGGGTTGTCAACATTCGAACTGATACACACAGTTGCAGATCACAGATTGTGGAGAGGCATGATTGCCCACGCCAGTCGCAAGGCACTTGATGATGATGAATGCTCCAGGCATATTGCGCTAAACTTATATTTTTATAGAACAATCAGAACGTGTTGTCGCCATCATGCTGGCCATCTTTACTTCCCAGGACAGTTCCTGGTATTTTTGTTTAGCCCGGGCTGACCTGGGGGACAAATGTGAATTTTAACAATTCATCAAAGTGCAGGTTCAGACCCAAGATCTTGAGGCCATCAGACACTTATGCAGCGCCCAGTAGCAGATATAACTCAGTTATTGATCTTGATGCATGGGTGTAAGCTGGGGATATTCTAGGTCAGTCACCAACTCTAGGACTGGCTCTCTTTGTTGTTGTCTTTCATTCTTATAACATTCTGAAAATTGTATACATGACAAGGCAGATATGGTCAGAGCCCTTTGGGAACAAGTAACAAAGTCAGAAGAGAAACTAGATTATTATGGGCTGTAGAGAATGATGCACCTGGGTGTGACCAGAGGGTTTGGCCGGCACACTACATTCAGTGGAAAGGCAAGACGAACATACAACCAAACTACGACTGGCACCAGTGGTATTATAAATCTGCACTGGCTGCTGAGGATGGGGACAGAGTGCATATGGGAATGCCTCAAGTGCTGTGATGTAAAGTCTTGACTCAGCTCTACTCAACTCTAAAAATTGTTTAAGAAGATGGGCAACCCCAAAGTTGTACATCTGTTTAAAAAAAAAGATTCATCCTTATCTGAGACTAATGAAGATTGACATGGATTCTTTTTGTTTGTTTTTTTACTTGTATATGATTCCATAACATAGTGTAATATTGTGCTGTAGAGAGGCATAGGGAAATCACAGCCCATAGGACAAATCCTGGGCAGTATTATTGAGACCATGTATGCCATGTAGCATGCTTCCTCACCGGGACTGCTCTGTTTGCTCCAGAGAAAAGATAACACCAGTGTGCTTGGAACAGAGCATGATGCAGAAGATGCTGGATCAAAGGATAACACCAGTGTGCTTGGAACAGAGCATGATGCAGAAGATGCTGGATCAAAGGATAACACCAATGTGCTTGGAACAGAGCATGATGCAGAAGATGATGGATCAAAGGATCACACCAGTTTGCTTGGAACAGAGCATGATGCAGAAGATGATGGATCAAAGGATAACACCAATGTGCTTGGAACAGAGCATGATGCAGAAGATGCTGGATCAAAGGATCACACCAGTTTGCTTGGAACAGAGCATGATGCAGAAGATGCTGGATCAAAGGATAACACCAGTTTGCTTGGAACAGAGCATGATGCAGAAGCTGCTGAATCAAAAGAGTGGTGCTTTGTCTGTCTATCTGAGCTTCACTCCCAGATCAGCTGCCTATGAAGGCTAAGGGCCTCTTCTACCGTGCCTTAATATTTAAGTTTTTAAGTTGCATTTGCTCTTCCTAGGTTAAGGCTCCTTGCCTGAAGTCATTAGCACAATGTGGCGTATACAATTATTAAGAGTCTGCTAACATTTAGCATTAACAGAGAACATGTGAAGCTGACTACTGTTATGTGGTAGCTCAATCATATCTGAGATCTGTGTATTTCAATGAGTAGCATTTACCATGGTCCAGGAATTTAAATGATGGTTTTTGCTCTTCAGATATCTTGTATTCGTCAGCAAACACCATGAAGGTTTCACCAACTGGCCTTCTAAATACTCGTTTAACTGGAACTCACAAGATGTTGGTCCGAATAGAGATATTGTCGGTAAGAATATATTTTTTTAAATTTTCTCCGGTATTTGTCATAGACTGGATAATTACATAGAAACTTAAGTATAGAAACTACACAGAGAGAAAGAAATCATAGCTATCACCACTGCTCAACAAAAAGCAGTATTGCTCAGATGTAAAAAAAAAAAATACTGTATACTGGATTTCATTCTAGAATGCAGTTCATTTCTTGATGCTGCAAGGTAAAGAGGAGAAGAGGAAGAAGAAGGAGAAAGATGGAGTAGTAGTAGTAGTTATAGGGTGGTAGTACAGCAGTAGTAGTATTAGTAGTAGTAGCCCCCCAAGTAGGTTCTGGGGCCCTGTTGTGGGGAAAACAAGAATAGACCCACTGCCTCCCCAAAAGCATGTCGTAAGAGTCGACTAACTGGGGAGCTTCCTTTGAAGTCAGAGTGCATCTACCTGAGAGGCAAGTAACCAGCAGTCTGCATTCAATTGAATCAGAACTGTAAAACTGATGCACACGCAACACTCAGGTTCTGGAACAGGACTGCAGTCCAGAAGTGGACGAACAACCAGAACTTTATGCCAGAGTTACAGCTGGTGAACGCGAAGAAGAAGAAGTAGTAGCAGCAGCAGCATTAGTAGGGATATTAGTAGTGCTAACAGTAGTAGTATGAATGAACAACACAAAAAAAGCAAATAGGAAGCTAGGCAGAAGGAAAGTCACACAGATATTAAGCAAAAACCTCAACCAAAGTTTTTTTTCAACACATAAGGAAAAAATTACATAACTGTAGAAACAAAAGCAGACAATACAACATAAACAAGTAATCCTTATAATAAAAAAAGAAAAGCAACAGTCACTACAAGGCATAGACAAATATCTGTATCAATATTAATTGACAGCATAGGAGACATAAATCTGTTGACATACATGATGACCAGTGCTACAGAACATGGACTGTACAAAAAGAATAAATGTTGTAATTGAACATTTTGACAGAGCAGCTGTTCAACTAGCATCTCTTCTCTTTGCTTCCAACTGTGAAGGGATGTTAAAGCGCATAATGGATATACATCATTTTTTTTTTCTAAGTGCCCAGTGGGACTCGAAAGGTATTAAAAAATTCTCAAAAAGTGCACTTAAATTATATTCAGCTTAATCTAAACAGTTTGTTACAATTAACATATAATCTAAGCAAGATTAAAAAACCATGTAAGTGATAAGCGTAAATATTCAGTATTTAAATATAAATATTTTATATCTCCCAGTTGTAACCCAGATTGGTTGAACAGGTATCATTGTAAAAATTACTTCATCCTCTGTTTGCCTTTTTCCAAAAAACCTAGTTTTTCTGACTCAGTTTTCAGATATCAGAATACATGTTGTATAGTCAAACATCTACAATCTATAATGCAAAATAGAAAGAAAAAAATGAACAAAAATATAATTTTAGGTGAATTGATGAATGCTACAAGAGAACATTCAGATCTGAGGTTTGGGCTGTACCACTCTCTGTTTGAATGGTTTCATCCACTGTACCTTGCTGACAAGCAGTCTGGATTTGCCACTCAAGATTTTGTCAATGTAAGTTTTTTTTTAGTTAAGAAAAATAATAATTATTTAAAACTAATTTGTATGTTTTTTTTTTCTGTCCATACCAGTATGTAAATATTAATGAAAACCAGCATTTTTACATTAGCAACTATGACTATGAGTATCGCAACCCTTCGGCCTTGATTCCATGATAGGTACCTTAAATCTTTGAGAAATGTTGCTTTTCTGCCTACCCTCCGGGCGTGAACCCGGACCACAATGAGTTCATCACCCGGTTGCAGCTCCCCTTAGGTTTGGCCAACTGAGCAAGTGAGCCGGGCATATATATATATATATATATATATATATATATATATATATATATATATATATATATATATATATATATATATATATATATATATATATATATATATATATATATATATATATATATATATATGTAGTGATAAAGTTTGACAATTAAAATATTGACTGTGCATTGATAATAGTGTTTTGGAATTATTAATTCTACTTTTATGTATGTTTATACTTAAAATGTAGGTTATTTGTGTTAATTTGTGTGTGTGTGGTTTGCAGCAAAAAACATTACCTGAACTCTATGAGCTAGTGAACACTTACAAGCCTGAAGTTGTCTGGTCTGATGGTGACTGGGTGGCTAATGATACTTACTGGAAATCAAAAGAGTTCTTGGCTTGGCTGTACACAGACAGGTAAATTAGAAAACATGTTAGTTATCCACCAACTGAAATGTGAACGTATGCTTGTCAAGGTGTGACATTGCAGAGTCATAAAATATACTGAAAAAAAAAACATGAAACACAAACACTTTGTGTATAAATTATTATCGTGTTTATTTGATATTTGCCCCAAACAGTCTACATTATTATATAATTGCCAGACAAAGACTGTACTATTTGATTCGTCAAACCAAACTTAAAGAGCCTATCTCAGCAGAACAGTTCCGCCCACACAGGACAGCAGGTTACTTCATAATTATGGTAGACCTGTATATCTGGAATTTACTCCTGTTGAATTCACATCTAAATAGTTTCTGTTTTGAGTCAGTGGGCATCAATCTTTCAGTCTGCAATCCCAGAGGGGGGAAAATCAACAATGCCAATTACCACTCTTGGTGATGTCAGTAAAATTCTGAAAGGGCTGAGATAATGACAGTCACTACATAGTGTTCATTTCAAAATTTTAATTTTCATTCTATCTGCGGTGGAGATCTTTATATAGGATTTGAGTCCCACATTGTGTGAGGCTGGTATCCCAACCCTACTGCTGCTTCCACCAAACTAAAATCACAGTAAGGCAAATGTCCTATAAGTTAATTGGCTCAAAAATACTAAATCTGAGAGCACAATGTAGTAGACATAAACTATATCAAAATGTTACATTACATTTTAGTGACTAGGTAAAACGCCCTTGAGTCATCAGATATGTTAAGTACACAAACATGCAAGGAAGATAAAACAGACAACAAGGTCAAGATATAGCAAGATGTGGCATATAATTACTACTTGTAATAAAATTAATTGATTTTTATTAACATTAAACAAGACCGGGATATGTACTATCACCCAAATTATTTAATTTGTACACAGAAATAATAATGAGATCCATACATTGTATGCCAGGTATAGCAGTTGGTGGGCACATTGTTAACAACCTGTGATATGGTGACGATGTAGTATTGATGGCTGAAAATGAAACACAACTGCAAGAAATGATGGACATAATTGTAAAGGAAAGTGAAAACAAGGGTCTTTATTGTAACAGCAGAAAAACAGAAGAGAAGTAATGGTAATTACAAAGAAAACTGACCCTCCGAAATACAACATCAAAGTAAATAGGACAAACCTCAAGCAAGTTGATATGTTTAAGTACTTCGGTACCCTGATAACATCAGATAGAATATGTGTTAAAGAAGTAAAATGTCGAATAGCTCAAATAAATATATATCCTATATTGATATACGGATGTAAATCATGGACAGTTAGTAAATTAGTGAAAACCTTTTTGGAAGCTGCAGAGATTTGGTTTTATAGATGAATGATGAGAATACTGTGGACAGATTAAAAAGAGTAATGAAGATGTCTTAAAAGAAACTGACTCACGAAGAGAACTGATTGCCCATGTCACAAAGAGAAAATCTACATTCTTTGTTCATGTGATAAGAAAAAGAAAATTGGAGTACAAATGATGGTAGGAAAGCTGGAGGGGAGGAGAGGCAGAGGGAGACTAAGAGAACAGATGCTGGACAGTTTGACATCATGGCATGGAGGATCATCTGTGTCAGAGTTGACTGAAAGTACATGAGATAGAAGGTTGTGGATAGAACTGACTGCCAAGGCTACATGGCATGGACTTTAAGAATAAGAATAAGAATAAATTATAAAATATACAAATTTCATTTGCATGGAAAAATTTGTTAAATATTCAAGGAAATTAAAAATTAGAAATCTAGACCATCATAACATGTAATAAGTCATAGAAATTGCAGTATTTCTACAGAAAATATGGTGTACAAAAAAGTTTCTTTTTAAATTTTGTTTAACATTTGACAAGAATTCAAATATTTAAACTGAAAATGAAGGAAGAGAAAGGGAATATTAGTATGGGAAGTACAAAGAAAGGGAGATCATTAGGCTGGAACGATGAACAACTGAACTAATACAGAGGGAAAAACCATCGTCTGTGTATATGTGAAGATCTTGAACAGTGTTATTTGACCTAAAGCATGGAGGAGAATAGTCTGCATTCATTCCTCAACCCTTTCACTCTGGTGACCAGGGAAAAAAGCCAAACTCCTATACTTTCCTTTTTTTTGGATATTTCGGGGGAAAATTTTAAGGAAAACAACCATTTTACACAAACAAAATAACACAAAATTAGTGTATTACCAATAACATCAATAGATTTTATATAGAGCATAGGCAGTAATGAATAAAAATGAAATGCATCATAGAAACAACTGGCTCACATCTCTTAGGGCTTGCATATAATTTTAATGTGGTACTTACTTGACTCTGTGATCTGATTACCCAGTAACTTTTGTAGCAAAGGAAAAAAAAATGACCTCGAAATTTCTTCAAATAAAGGTATTAAAAAAAAAAAACACATGCTCAAACCCCATATTCTATGACCCGTCCATCATGGGAGCCCATGCTGATAGCTATGCTACCACCAGCTTAGTACTTAGAGTCACTGAGAAACTTAAGCTTCCCCCACCAGGACAAGGTGGCTATACCTTCAGGAGAAGAGGATATGATTCTGTGTACTGTTCCGAAATTCACAACAAAAAGTATGTACATATAAATAGTATATTTGTTGTCAAAGAGTGAAAATCTTGAAAAGATTGCCTGTTTTTCTTATAATTTCTAGCCCAGTTAAGGACACTGTGGTAGTCAATGACAGATGGGGTAAAAACTGCTCCTGCCACCATGGCGATGTGTACACATGTGGAGACAAGTTCAACCCAGGTCAGTTTTACTCTTGTCTTCACATGTTGCTCATAAAATTCCACAGAAATAGTATACTTTTGCACTGCAGAATACTTTCACCATTAACGTGAAGTCATGATTAAAGAATGGGAGAAAATGGAAAACTAGGACTAAAATATGTGAAAGCAAGAAATTTTGCCCTGGAGAAGTAACATCTACTGTTTACCATAGCAGAGGTAATAGCAATTTTTTTTGGTCACATGATAGTTAGCTGCTTTCAGCTGTAGGAGAGAAAATATCTCTCTTTTCTACAAAAAAGTAGTATTTTTTTCTTTTTTTAAACTGTAGGAGAGGTAGTATTTGCTTTTTACTGTAGAAGAAGTAGTATGTGCTTTTTTTATAAACAATATGAGAGGTAGTATTTGCGTTTTTACAATAGGAGAGATAGAATTTGTTTTTTGTTTTTGTTTGTTTTAGTTTTTTAATAATAGGAACATTCTTTTTTTTCCATGATAGGTGATATAGTATTTGCTTTTTACTGTAGGAGAGGTAGTATTTTTTTTTTTTAACTCTAGGAGAGGTAGTATTTGCTTTTTTTTTCACAATAGGAGAGGCAGAATTAGCTTTTTGTTATTTAACATTAGGAGAGGTAGTTTTGGCTTTTATTTTTATAGTAGGAGATGTAGTATTTGCTTTTTTACCGTAGGAGAGGTAGTATTTGATTTTTGTTTTTTCAACAGTAGGAGATGTAGTATTTGCTTTTTACTGTAAGAGATGTATGTGCTTTTTACTGTAGGAGATGCTGTATTTGCTTTTCACTTTAGGAGAGGTAGTATTTGCTTTTTTTTTTTCAATAAGAGAGGTAGTATCTAACAGAAAGAGACAATCTACATGTTTTTTGTCATGTGATGAGAAAAAGAAAACTGGAGTGACAGTAGGAAAGCTGGAGGGGAAGAGAGGCAGAGGAAGACTAAGACTAAAGATGCTGGACAGTTTGACATCACAACATGGAGGATCATCTGTATCAGAACTGATTGAAGTACACAAGACAGAAGGTTGTTGATAGACATGTCTATCAATGATACATGGCATGAACTTCAAGAAAAAGAAGTAGATAAGGATTTTTATCAAAGAGGAGTGGTAACATTTGCTCTCTAACATAAAAGAGCTATCTGCCTTGATCATTGTTTATTACTTCCCACTACTTTTCACTGCTTCCCACTACTTCCCACTACTTCCCACTACTTCCCACTAGTCTTGATCATCAGATTAAAACAGGAAGTGTGTCTCTTTATGTTCTTAGCAATTACTGGCTATACATTCCGGAAGAACATTCTGGTTGTTCATCCACTTTTGGATTTGGTCTTGCTCCAGACCTGCATTTTCATGCATATCTGTTTTACAGATCTGGCTTTTTTGTTTGCAGACTGTTGGTTCCTTGCCTATCAGGCAGATACACTCTGAGTTCAAAAGAAATATCCATAAATAGTCACCCCCTACAACAGGCTTATTCGGAGAGGTTTAAAAAAAAAAACGTCTTTGACTTCTAGGTCAGCCTAGCATAAAATATTTACAAGGTAATATTCTGAAAAATAAAGACAGTTGGCATGATGTTGACCACATTATGCATTGACTGCCAACTGGTCTAAAACGTCTGAGTCTATGTATGCCTAATGTGATGTATTAAACTGTCTTTATGGCCTGTTTTTAACGACTTTTAGCCAGGAGGGGTGTAGTTCCTGAGCCTTAGGCTGCATGCTAGTTCAGTTGTCACACATTGGGCTGGTTTTAATTTTTGTGTGTATGCCCCGACAGAAACAGAAAAAAAAAAAAGAATCCCTCACCTAGGACCAAACTTAATTCTCCAGCATTAGAGCCCAGCGATGTGCTACTGGCATGAAAAGGGTCGTTTACCACTTACTTTTACAGGATGGCATGTCATATATCTTCATACAAGAGGGAAAATAACTACAAGTAAAATGCGCTGTCTCTCTAAGGTCACTAACAACACAAGAAGGGACAAAGCAATGAATTCCAGCATTAGAGAGAAAACTAGAATATGATTGAATTACATTGAGAGACAAAGAATGAAATGATTCAGCCATATTGTGAGAATGCGACCAGACCAAACTGCATAGTAGACTTTTTAAAGGAGAACATCACAGAGGAAGGCTAGAGGAAGACAAAGAATGATATGGATAAATGATGTAACTAAAATCTGTAAAAAAAAAACAAAAACATGCCAAATTCCACCACACATGCCAACTGAGAAGAGCTAGACAAATACAGACAACCACGAAACTTGGCTACAACTTGGCATCAGTGGGATGACAAAAGGAAGGTAGGAAGGAGAACTCCGCTATGTTTAATATTTTCAGAGCTAATATATGCAGCACTTATTGCTTCATGGATATATATATATATGTGTATATATACATCACTGAGAGTCATCTGTGCATGATCTTTTACAGGGGTTCTTCAGAAGCACAAGTGGGTTAATGCTATGACTATTGATAGGCATTCATGGGGGTTTAGAAGGAATGCTCATTTGGCTGAATTCCTGACCATTGAAGAGTTGTTGCAGACCTTTATTACAACAGTCAGGTATGTTTGTAAATATGTTCCCAGAGGCATCATTATGTCATTTATGTTTGTTATTATTTTCATTACCGCTGTCATGCATGTTTGTTGATAATTGTCATTATTGCTGTCATATATGTTTATTGATTATTTTCATTACCACTGTCATGTATGTTTGTTGAATATTTTCATCACTACTGTCTTGTATATTGCTGATTGTTTTCATTATTACGGTTATGCATGTTTGTTGATTATTTTCATTACCATTGTCATGTATGTTTGTTAATTGTCAATTTTACTGTCATTTATGTTCGCTGATTGTTTTCATTATTACTGTTATGTAATATCAGTTGATTATTTTCATCACCACTGTCATGTATGTTTTTAAATTGTTGTCATTTTTACTTTCATGTTACTGATATGTTCTAAACTATGTTACTAAATGTTTCTGTTGTTACTGTTTGGTAGATATTTTTTCTCTCTGCAAATTCTCTATGTCGCACAGTCATCCTGGAAGACTGACATTGTTTTCTGATCACTGGGTTTCCCATTCTGTCTGTTTATTTTGCATTTATCTCTTTAATAAACATAATGGTTAGAATTATAGGCGGTCATGCATGAGTCTCGGTTTCAATCATCCGTAAGGTGATGGAAGTTATTTCTGTCAGGAGCAAAAATGAACATTCTAACCTGCATAGTCCAGAGTGACAGAACCTGTCATGTGGCCTCAAATCCTCAGGCATTAATGACAGTTTTTTTCCTAAAAATTTTAAACACAATCCCGGGTTAAGAAACACCTCTTCAGTATGTTTGATCCTCGGAAGTTGCAGCTGCGGTTTAATGACCTGATGAAACAAACATTTGTGCAGTAAGCATGTGGTACAACTGTCACACATCAACCTGTGGCTACCTGACTGAATATGGAAGAAGAAAGAGTAGGAAGAAGAAGAAGAAGCATGTGATATCTTAGTATGAATGTACATTTTCAATCACATGTACATGGGTGGTAGTGTTGCCAACTTTCCATTACTCATATTTTTATTTATATAGATTGTTTTTGCTTTTAGCTTTAATTTTTTTTGGTTGGTATGCTTTGCATAGGCGCGATTTGTCTCTAGTTCACAAATCAGTATAAATGTAAATGTTCATTTGTTTTTAATTGGCTAATTCCAAAAGTTCTTCACTGACTGCATTCAAATTTTGACCAACAAATACACAGGTATTTTTATATAATATTTCGTACAAAGCACGAACTACATAGCACCAGCGATAATCACATCAAGATGCATCACCATTGGCACCTTGGTTTTGTTTTTTGATGATCTGATTTCTTTTTTCATTGCTGTGTCCTGAACTTTGACTGTTGACCTCATAAATCTGCATAAAGCTGTATGATATAATAAAATATTTTGTTATGGGGACAAAAAGTTGTTGAAAGACTGTTTGGAAATGTAAAGATGTGAGAAATAAAACAAGTTGGAATTGGAATTAATAGTTAAAAAAAAGAGTTGTTGAAAGACTGTATGGGAATGAAAAAAATATGGAAATGAAAGATTACTGATTAGTAAGAATTATCATCATAGCATTCTGGACAGATACACATGGCTCTTTTCGTCGATAGCTGCATAAGCGCAAAAACCACTAATGACGTCCATTCTCTGATGATTAATCAAACGATTCTTGTTTTTGGTGCTCCAGGCTGCACTCCCATATCCACCACCCTTGACATACTCTTCTTCATGATATGCATGTCATCAATAACATCACTACTGCCCATGTCAGGGAAGTCACAGTCACCGCCTTGCCCACAAGATTAATCTGCTTATAGTAGCTGTAGTAGTTGTTGTTGTGGTTGACCGGGTAGTTACAACGTCGGGCTGCCAGAGGGAGACCCAGGTTCGACTCCCAGTAAGGTGATGTAATTTTTTTGTCAGGGGCAAATTAAACATCCTAACATGAACAGTCCTTGGTGACAGCACTAGCCATGTGGCTTCTCTGGCTCAGGACCCTGTCTACAGGAACCTAGACAGGTGGTAAAATAGGCGGTAGTGACAGTTTCTTTAGTTGTTGTGGTGGTGATGGGATTAGTAGTAGTAGTAGTAGTAGTACTGATGTGGTAAATATCTCACTGGCTGCATTTACTTCTAATTACAATTCCTGCTACCCATTTTAGTTTGGGTGGACATGGATGCCAAAGTGAAAAAAAAAATATGTGATGAATTTTAAATCCTTCGGAGAGGGAGAGAGGAGTAGTCCGTGATGACAGAAACTGAGAGAGCTTAAAACATGATTGTACAGTTTTCCTTTTTTAATTATTTATATTTTAATAACGCTTCCTCAGCTATTCTCATTTTTTGTGTGTTTGTGGCAATTTTGTTTTTTAAAGACAAGGTAGTAAACTTAACTTTGAGCTCTTTAAAAAATACAAATAATATTTAGCATATGATAACAAAATAAATTTGGGTCCAAATAATACACTTTAACCTACCACTAACATAAGGTCACAATTATATGTTGCACGTTCTAGAGTCGGCAAACCAGACTCTCTGCACAGACAATAATTGTGAAATTAACCATATTAGACTCGTACACTTTCTATTTTCTGTCTTTTCCAGTTAGCCATACTGGGCCCCAAAACGCATGGCTGGGTACAGTATAGAATATGATGAAAAATGAAGTGTCTTAGAATTTTACTGATCAGAGTGAGCCCTCTTTCACTGTTGCTAGTGCAGTATTTTTCCTTAAATAAAATGGGTATTTATAGTAAGGCAACTGTGTGGTTTGATATCTATAATAGTTTAATCACAGCATATTATACTGTTGCTTGGTCTGTTGGCAGTTTATATTTTCTAGATTCAGGATTAAAATTATTTGCCAAACAGTTGCTACACAGTCTACAGCCTAGGATATTTAGTTTCTTTTTGATGTAGACACAGAACAGTTGCCTTACTTTTGCCACTTAATCAATAATTATATTTGATAATCATCTGATTAATCACAGTTCTATTGAATATATTTGACTACCTATTGTAGCAAGACACGCACTGTGTGTTAAAATACAATATACACTTGGTCTGAACATACTAAAAGATCTTGCACATTATATTCCTGTTTGAAAGTACTGTAATAATATTCATAGCCCCATAATGCTGCAGGTCACTGGGTCACCAGTTGCTGTTGATTCTCTGTGCAGTTCTCTTCACCTCTGCTGGTCAGATACAATGAATTTGATTTGCATGTTTCAGGTCTGTCTAGTTGGCAAAGTTCTGTAACCAGATCTTTCTTGGTCTGTCTCTTCTCCTCCTCCCCTCTGCAAAGTCCTGTAGTATGCTTTTTGAGAGGTCAGTAGGTCTTGTTACATCCATACCACTACTGTTTCCATCTTTCACTGTTACATTTTCCCTTTTTTAATGCATTTAAATGTTTATGATGTTTGCAGCTGTGGAGGCAACATGCTGATGAATGTTGGACCTCCTAGTCATGGATTTATTTCTCCAATTTATGAGGAACGTCTCCGCCAGATGGGGTCATGGCTACAGGTCAATGGAGAGGGCATCTACAGTTCAAAGCCCTGGACTTATCAAAATGATACTTTGACTAAGGGTGTTTGGTATGCATTTTATTGTCTCATGCATTTATGCTACTTGTCAACTCCAGATAAAACCAGCTTCTCAGACTGCAAATAAGTGTTTGTAAAATTCTAAAGTTTTACTGAAGAGTGCTTAAAATACCTTAGACAGCCAAAAAGAGCATCCAAGAGGTTTTTGAAAAAGGTGGGAGCCTGAAGACTACTTATCACAGACATCTGAAGGAGACAGTCATCATTTTTTGGCCATGTTATTGTTGCATGGCATGGAGGTGTGTCAGCACATGAACTGAAACATGCTGCAGAAGATGGCATATTGTGCAGAGGAATGACCGCCCACACCAGTCGGCAAGGCACCTGATGAACATGTCAAAGAAAAGTGAGTCAAGTATCATATCAGCACTACTGCATTCAGCTGAAACATGGAGATTGACTAAAATTCTTTCTAAGAAACTATACACATTTGTTTAATGATGCATGCACAAAGTAGAGAGAATTCCATTGTTTGACAGAATCACTAATGTGGCACGTTTGGAACGAAATAAATAAATTCCAGTGAAGCAGGAAATAAGAAAAAAGTTTCAGACACTGGATAGGGCATAATTAAACAAAAAACCTGATAATAATAAAATAAGGAAATGTTTTGAACTGGAGCCCACTGGTCCTAAGTAACAAAGCAAACATGTTTGAGAAAATCAGAGAAACTGCTAAATACCAATCTTGGCTCACAAAATGTGGTAATGCTGACAGATGCAAAATTAGTACTTGAAGCACTCCAGTCTAGGAAACTACTATAATTGCAAACACTGCTAACACAACTTAGCCTTCAGCAAAGAGTCGTAATGCAGTGGATACCGTCTCATTGTGGAGTCCCTGGAAATGAGAAAGCTGATCAACTGGCAGAGGAACGTGCGACAAAAGCGCAGTTGGATGTAGTCACATACCATCAAAAGAAAAGAATCATTAAATCGATCAGGAAACCACCAGCCCCAGCACAAGACAACTATTTTATTATGGACATATCAGAACCAGTCATTATCCTCCGCCTCAGAACAGGGCACAACAGATTACGTAACCACATGTACACAAAATTCAAGATAGGCGTATCTGCCATGTGCACCTGTGGAAAGGTGCCCCAGACAGCAGAGCATGTACTCAAGGACTGCACCGAATTTGACACATCAAGACAAACCTTTTGGCCAGAAAGAACAAAAGTGGAACGTAAACTCTATGGACCACTGAATGAACTAACAACGACAGTGAAATTTATACAAGAGACAAAACTGCTGATATAGACAACTGATTTCAGGCGAACGAAAAAAGAAGAAGAAGAGGTACAGGTTAACAAGCTGGGCTGAGATGAGTTAAGAACCCAAATCACACACTCAGGACATTTCAAACATCAGTTCTGAAGTGGAAAGACTTCTATCTGGCTGTGTTGAGGGACTGAACCAGTGGAGGATACTGATAACTATAACCACTTTAGACGTACCTTAAATTTTCATAAACCGGTAGTCTAGTTGATACATTTTATTGTCTCAGCGAGGACGTTCAAGTGTCGATAATGCTGAGATACATATAGATTCACCCACTGGTTATTGTGTTTCATAAAAGAAACAAAGAATAGCAGCCAGTCCCAGATTTCCTCAGTCATCTAGGAGTGGTTGGTTTGAGAACAGCTACTTTACCCCTTTGAAAACTTTAGTTGCAAGATCTAACCATTTATGAACATCTTGCCCCCCCCCCCCCCCCCCCCCCCCCCTCCCAAGCAAGGATTTCTGTTCTTTAGATTAACACCTCAAAGATAAGAATCAGAGAGAAGCAAATCTCAAAAACCTCGTTCAGCTGTGGAACATAGTTATACTGGGGTACCCCTAGAGTTACGCATAACCTGCAGTCCATTGTAGAGGGTGGAAATATATCAGTTTGCAACATGCCTACAGAGAACTTTTAAGTGTTAACCTTCCAGATTTTTGTTCCGTAGGATTAACATCTAAGGATGAGATTCAAGCAGCTACAACTCCCAGGGACCCTGTCCAACCATATAGACTTATAGCACGGTTATACTGGGCACCACACAATTGTTATGAAGTCACCTGTAGTCAAGTGTATGTCGGTTGTGATATCACACATTGCTTGAGTTCACAAGTGCCTGTGCTCTGTTGAGAGTTGAAAGTTAGAAGAAGAAGATTAAGATATATAGATTAAACAAAATGACATTTTTTTTTAAAATTTGTAAAACTAAACACATTTCCTGTAATAACTTTTAAGATATAATTTTAATAGCACTGGTATTTTCTCATTTGCAGGTACACATCTAAAACTAATACATCTGGCACTGATGTTTATGCTTTCGTCTTTGACTGGCCATCCAACTCAGTACTCTCCCTTGGGCTACCAAAAACATCTGCAGCTACCACCATTTCCTTGCTGGGTTATCAAGAACTCTTTAGCTTCAACACCAGGCAGCCTGCAGGAGTTGACATTGTGGTTCCAGCCATTCCAATTAGCAAACTGCCATGTCTGTGGATGTGGGTCTTCAAAATCACAGCCGTTGACAATTAGCTTATGGTTTATTTTAAAAAAAAAAACTGTTTCATGGTTTCTAGACAATGGCATGAGACCTGCACCAACAAAGTTAATACAAGTTGTCTACTTGTGGGATGCAATTTTTTGGTTATTTTCATGCTCCACCCCGGCTTTTGCCAGGGGCCCTAAATATAGCCGGCCCATAAATATGATCTAACGGCTGAACTGGTTTTCCAGGACCCCTCCACGGGTGATCCTCACCCGCTTGGTGGCACTTGGTGTCATCAGGTGTTTATCACTTAGTGTGATGTCCTGGTGGGGTACAACCTACCTACCTATCTATCATCAAAGAGATTAGTGACAAACCATGTAATATTCCCAAAGACAGTGAGGATACACTGCAGTTAAAATTTCATTGTGGAGATGGCACATGATTGTTTATGGGCTGCATTTTCAAAACTAAAAAACGTGTGTTCAGGTGAGAGATGATCATCTTCATTGCACTGGAGTAATTCCAGCATATAAAATAATGTTAATGCTCTGCTTTTATCACAATACATTTAACATTTAAAAAAATATATTATTGAACTTTTGCTTCTTTCATGCATTAAAATAAAAAACATTTCAAAAGGTATTAGTTCAATAACGATTGTTCTTGTGTTTTGTAAAATTATTATTTTATTAAAGATTTTGTAAATCCTGTACAACTTTGCTCCTTAATAATATTGCCATATATTGAGTGCCAGCTGGTCTATAATAGCATAAAGTGTCTGTTGTGCCAGTAGTGGAAAAAGGGTTCACTTATTTTATCTTGTTTACCATATGTATGTAGATTTTAATTGTTATCTCAGGTAACATCACTTGCAGTAGTTACTGAGAGATAAACTAAATGTTTGAGATGTTTGTTAATTCAGTGATGTGTAAAATGGGGTCGTTAGTGCAGTCGATAGGAGACTCACTTTCAAATCTAGCTGCGACTCGCTGCAGCCCACAGCTGGTATTCGAAACTGGGCGGTTCCCTGGGTTCACCCAGCCTGTAGGTAATGGGTACCAAAGTTAACACTGTGGGTTAAATTTATGGACGTGGCTGTAGCTATGGAGTTGCGTGCGGACGGCAACACAGGCAGACAGTTTCTTATCAGCTGTCCGTACTCGTGGCAGAGCACTTACGGTTTATAACCATGTGCAATGAGGCTGGTTCACATCTACTGACTTTACTGACTTTACTTTGTGTAGAATGTATGAATTAAAATAAAAAGAAGAAAAAAAAAAGAACAGAATTATGTCTTTTGTGTCATAAATTTCTAAAATTTTAAAGGATTTTGACTGCAACAAAATTTACCTATGACTGTTTTGGGAATTCATGAGGTAGGTAAAGAATTGTAAAAATGTAGCTTGTACTGCAGTTGTCCAAGTTGGTTGTTAACTAACTTGAAAAGAAGTAGGAATATAGTATTTTCAAACAGGCATTTTTTAGTATGTTCAGACTAAATGTATGGTGACAGAGTGTGTGTCTTACTACAATGGGTCAGTAACTAATACCACCTGGCGCTTTGTTTGGGATAGAAACAGTGAAGCCGTCACCCCTTAGCAACAAGAACAAACCATACAGCAGCCTTGTGCAGGCTTGAGATCAGCTGTATAAACATAAGGTGATTGTAAATGATTGACAGTGCATCTTGAGAAAGATGGAGACAGGTATGCAGTGCAAACATTGCTTTAGAGGTCCTGTCTAATAAGCCTGCTTTGGATATTTTTTCTAGTAGATGAAGGTGTGTTAAGAAATAAATAGGCAGACAGACTGGTTAGCTTTGCACCACTTTGGGGTAAAATGATGCCTGACAAACTAGAATTTGCAAGGACCCTTTGTGAATGAGTAAATGGTGCGGGAGAAGGGGCACAAATAGATTACCCTCTGAAAACAATGATGCAGAGATAAGTGACTCAGGGATCTGGCCGATGCTAAGCACCCAATTTAAAGGTAAGACGAATATACAATCAGACTTATTGATATCACTGGAATTGGAACTCTTTCCTGGCTGCTGAAGATGGAAAAAGGGCACTTATTTGAATGCCTTGAGTGCTACGATATTGGATCTTAACTCTTAACACTTTCATTTCCTAAGAATTTTAGAGAAGAAACACATTGTTGGAATTCTCTAAAACTCTAGCCTAAGAAACCAGAAAAGGAACAGAAGAAGCCAAAACAAATGTGGAGTCTTGGACAGTATAATCATATAATCTGATGACCGACATTGTTTATGCACTGTGAGATATAAGACAGTTGGAGGATTGTGGGAATAGCGTGTTCACATCACTACTAAGAATGCGAGAATTGGGAGTACTAGAAGTCTTGTCAACCAGCATAGAAATGTCACTAGTAACCGCGGGACAGTGATAGTGGCTTTCGCCGGGGGCCCGGCTGGGCCATAAATGTGACCTAGCCATAGATATGGCCATAACGGCTGAAAGGGGTTTCTGGGACTTCTCCACGGGTGATCATCATTCTTGTGTCACGGAATGTTTATCGCTTGCGTATGTCCTAGTGGGTTATAACAAGCAAGCAAGCAAAGGACAGTGATAATGGCTTTCGCCGGGGGCCCGGCTGGGCCATAAATGTGACCTAGCCATCGATATGACCATAACGGCTGAAAGGGGTTTCTGGGACTTCTCCACGGGTGATCCTCATCCACATCATGACACTTTGTGTCACCGGGTGTTTATCGCCTGTGTGATGTCCTCTCTCCAACAAGAGAGAGAGAGAGAGAGAGAGAGAGAGAGAGAGAGAGAGAGAGAGAGAGAGAGAGAGAGGTCAGTGATGTGTATGCTAAAGGGGGAAATCTGAGCACCGGTAAAATGGACTTGTCCAGAGTGCCGTGAAAATAACTCATAACTCATATATGACACAACAAATATTTATATTGAGTCTAGTCCGGTCAAGTGAGCCGCAGTAATTCAAAAGTACGATGTACTGGCTTCGAACCCTCATCGAGGTGTAAAAAAATAATTGACATAGGATTGCAGGTTTGCTGTGTCAGTTGCTAAGGTTTTGCGACCGCGCTTGTAATTCCGAGGTACCCGGTTCGATTCCAGCTGCTGGCGACTTGACAGCAGACCGTCTTGTGTTGATTTCGACAGGGGTGCTGTTCTGCAACGTCACGTAAAATACATGCAGCTAACTTTTTCCAGGTCTAAATAATTCAGGTGCCGTCTTCACAGGGAAGGTTGTCTGTAATGGATCTCTGTTGCGCGCTGATTTGGGTTAAGTGTGATATTGTGGGAAGGGACAATGGTATGACTGTACTGCCTGTAAGTTCACGAGGAAAGAGTGTCAATATGATCAGAGTATTAAGAGGAGACCAGTGAAAACGTCTATTTATGAACAAAGCGTGCATGCACGAGAGAAAGTGGACGCGTGGGTTTCTGTGTGGTGGGCTGAAAGCGTGGATAACGAGATAAAGTGTGAATTAAGTGACAGCGTGATTCTCGGGTAACATCAGCCACCCACCTAAGCGTGATCCTCGGGAACGCTCACATGAGCGAGTCCCGACAACACCCACAGGATCATGATTCACGAGAACGCCCACACAAGCGTGCCTCTCGTGTAATCACCATCCACTTACACGGATTCGACATATATAAATTGGGCTGCGTAGACAGTCTAGAGAGTGAGCTGTGGCCTGAGGGCTAAAGCCCCTCGGGGGCAGTCAAGATAGAGCGAGAAGTGAGAAGAGAGAGAAAACGAGAGTCAGAGACCAAGTCAGGGTCCAGGTAATCTCTCGAGTCTAACAGACAAGAATACCGTACGACTATCGGGCATGTCGTGAAATGATAGCCATTACACATCGGTCTGTAAGGCTGATAACCTGTCTTACCTGTAATCTGCACAAAATTCAAACTTGGACTCGCCCAGAAATATATAGTCCCTTATATCTATATATATAGGCCTGTATTGGACAACATTATTTTGTCTGCCTTTTCTGGTTACTTTAACTAAACTCCACTTTTAAATGTATATCTCTTGGAGATATATTTAGGGAGTTATTTGAGGTTTCTTGGAAACCGATTTACTCCTTGCCCCAGTATACAAGGGACTTCTTTTGTACCAACGCCTGAAGTGTCTAAGTGACGCTATTCTCCTTGCCAGCTTCTCAAGCGTCCAGATGTGTTAATCTGTGCCTGTATAACTTTCACTTTTCAAGGCAATCTGGAAATGTCTCAGGTTTTACATATGCTTGGGTAAGTTAATTATAGTTTACGAGTACCTAGAATGATGTCTGTAAAGTAGTCACTGCTGTAGAGAAATCAGTATCGGCTGTGTGATTTCACTTAGTTCTACCGTTCTTGATCGCTAGAGAAGCGGATTCGAACGTAGATCTTACACTGTACAGACTAAATAGCTTATGCCCTCAATAAACCACCCATACTGATAAAACTTAATACCCTTTACAATTGTGTACGTTTTAAACTAATTAAAGAATCTGTACATACGAAATGGGGACAGAATTGGGTCAGGGCTGTGTTAATCAAAGTATGTGTGTGTTTGACCCAGATCAATGAGTGCTGGAGCGGTTGGGAAAGCTAGTGAATGCAGGTACTGACAGTAAATATTGGTGTCTGTGTGCAGAGTGAGGGGGAGAGGGAGAGTGATATATGTGTTAGACCACTTTATCTATCTCCACTGTATATCTGACTTGCCTTCTCTTGCACTAAACAGACAGATAAATATAGGAGACTTATGTCTTTTGGTTTGGAGAGGCTATCTGAGGAATGGAACAGGAGAGCAGGGAGGAGTCAGCAGATGGGGGTTGATGACTGATGCTTGCTCTGTCTTTCCTGTCAAGATGTTACCCTCTTGGTGATGACTAATGTTGAGTTATTTTCTTGACAGGATGTATATTTTCTGAAGAGCTGGCAGAAGATTCACAGTCCAACCAACATCCACCAACCATCAAACCACCAGAAACAACTTGTTACCCACCAGCTAACACCTGTGAAGGTTCCTGACATCTCCAACATGTGGGAGATGGTACCTC